GATGTGACTCCCACGAATGGGGGGATCTGAGTGTGCGGACAAGAAGGGACTTCTCCACTGTCACACAGTGAGAGCTAACTCTCCGAAGCCTACAGCCCGAACTCTCCAGAGCCCAAAGGAGAACGTGGGGCCCAGATTTTTTCCTGCAACACCCTTTTCTCTTCCGGACACACGATGCTGGTTCCCTCCCATTCCAGTGCAATCGGTAAAATGCTATGAAATGATGCAATGCCTTTCTGTTGTCTTTCCCTCACTGTGTGAAGCATGATGGCGATGGCCTCGTGTCCTCATATGTGAAAGATCCTCATCACTCGGGATCCCGACGCCCCAGAAAGAGTGGCCTTGGTCAGTGGTTTTGCCATCGAGCTTCAAAGAACCCTCAGCTTTCTTGTAGCCACTTCCGAGATTTTGAAAGTAATAACCATCTTTGCCACCCCAAAATAAAGACCCAGCTTGACGAAGGAACATGTTAATCACTCGCGTAAAATATATTTTGTATATTGGGGTTTAGCGCAAGACGTCTTTTAAAGAAAGAATTCTGCTGCGACAAAAGATAGCAAATCTCATTTTCTAGGATGTCATGAGTCACTGAGCTATAGGATACATCTGCTCAGAGGTAGAAAGTAATCGTGGATCAAAGTCAAAGATCCCAGCAAAGTGGAGGAAACCAAATCTTCACCGTGGGCGAACCAAGTACCTGGCCGAAAGGTGATCCCGCCTTCCCAGAATCCACTCCTCAGTCTTCTGGGACAACGGTGGGGCAGCGTTTCCTCTGTCCCTGCTAGGCATGCATTGGCCTGCCCGTTCTCTGCGACAGGGTCCTGGAATGGCCAGCTCTCCCTTGGCAAGAGGGTCTGAGCTTGCTGCTGGCTCTTACTGCTCAGCCTGGTCTGTAGGATTCTCTGCATCTCCACCGTGCGTTCGAGAACCCAGAGTCCTGGCCGCAGAATCTGGCCCTGGATACCCGGAGGCAAGGGTTACCGGGGAGGGGGTGCTGTGAAGTCTTCTGGTCACGCAACCAGAGCGGCTGTTTCCTTCTCTGTGAGCACAAGGGATTAGGAAGGTCCGTTCACCCAGGAACGAATGAGAAAAGCAAACAGATGAAGCAGCTATACACTCAGGCCTGTTCTCCTCTCTCCTCTGTTTCCTCAGAGCGTCCCCAGTACGGGCAGGCAGGCGTGCTTACACACACACACACACACACACACACACACACAGGCACGGAATCAGATTCAAACTTAGTTCAGCCGTAGTTCTTAGTAAAGTGGTTTAACTTGTCAGGCCAGATATTCTGCTTGTCTGCCTCTGAGCCAGACTTACCACCTCCCCTGCTTGTCTTTTTCTACCATAGGAAAATAACCATGGGCTTCACAGTGCAGCCAGGCCCGGTCTCCCAGGCAGCTGGCCCAGCCAAGGAGCCCTCTGGGGGCTCATGTCCTCCACACCATCAAGGCCAGACTCCCTACCGTTAGGCACTCAAGATCTCAGAGGTTCTCTGCGCTGAGTCATCCTCTGCAAGCCTGTCTATCCTACATGTGGGAGAGGTGGGTGCCCAATATCTCAGGAAGAGGAAGAGGTACCTCTATCTCCTAAAGAGGCTCCCAGGATCTCTGCATCACGCTGGAAGTCTGTCTTCATTCCCATTGCACACCATGGTGGCTTTGGGGCTGCACCTGCCCCACAGACGTGTTTGGTTTCGTCCCTGCCCTGGGGGATGCCACAACATTGTTTCATAAATTTAATTTAAATCCAAAATTTAATTTTTGAATGCCAAATTTCAGCCCCCACAGACCTTAGACTTCGGACTGCTCTTGAAAAATTGCACATGTGGTAACCTAGATCGCCATTCCCATGTGGCAGGAATCTGATGAAGGTAGATGGCCAGTGTTCCTTTTAGGCTTAATCCGTTTCTCTTTCCAGTTGAGCCCCTGTAGGCATTGGTATTTGCAACGTCTGTCTTAATTAAAACTAAGAAAATGATATTGATAATTGTTGACATACAGTGAGTAGCTTACCTCTAGTGGACACCATGCTAGGGAGCCCGCACACGTACGTAATACTCACGAAAGCCCTCTGAGGTCAATCCATTATCATTCCCATTTTACAGATGGAAAGTAGAGGTTCATACGAGTTCAGGGATTTGTCCAAGGTCACACACGTAAGATGAAGCAGAACCAGATTTTCCCGACTCTAGAAACTACGCTCCACAACGATTCCAAGATGTGGGTAGACACCGTTCATGGAGAGAACTTTCGTGAAGATAACTCCCCAAATTTCTCCAGCCCTTTTCTACATGTGGAGTTTTAGTCTCTGCGTCCAACGGGCAGAAGGATCTTGCCACTTGTACGTCAGCAGGTATCCACCGTAGGGGAAATGTGAGTAACAGACCGGAGTGGGCTTTGCTTTATTCTCCTTTCCAGACCCCCAACCCCTTCTGTTCCTCCCGACTTCTCTGCTCATGCTGCAACCGTGCAGGAACTTCGACCTCATCACCGACTCTCCCCTCCCCCCCATCGTTTTCCATCAACATCCAACCTGTGCCGAATCCTGTTCATACTTTCTCCACGTTTCTGGTTTCGGACCTTTGTTTTCTGTCTTCCCCTCAGGTCAAATCTGCCCTTCGAGGCATTGCCATATTAATCTTCTTAAACCGTTGGTCAGATCACATCACCCTCTCCTTATACTGGCCCTCCACTGGCTGGTGGAGGCAGGCTCCCCTTCTTTGGCATGGCCTTTGCGACGCTCTACGATGTTGGGGAAATGTCTCCAAGGCATAGCTTTCTGCAGCCCTCCAGCCAAGCTGAACTATTCCCAATTTCTCAAATGTTCCCAGTGCTTTCTGTGTCTAGATGCCCGTCCCTTCTGTTTGGAATGTTCCAATGTGCAGCCTTCCTTGTGAAATTTCACTCCCTCTTTTAAGGTCCAGCTCGAAAGCCACCTCTAGAAAGTCTTCCCTGACCAAACTCTTCCCCTCTCAGTTCTTTAGCCACATGCCTCCCCGCTTGACGGCTGTTGACGGGACATCTAGTATGCGCCAGGCACTGTGGGTACTCATTCATGCATTCTTCCAACTTTTGGCAAATGCTTCTTGAGTGCTTCCTATATGGCAGGTACTGTCCTGATGCAAGAGATGCAACACTTGCTGCCGTGACGCGATGTCAGTGCCGCGAAGAAAGGATAAAGCGGCTGAGTCTGGCTCACCGGGCGTGACAAATACACGTGAAGAGTGAACACGGCCCACCAGACATCCAGGGACACATGCTCCAGGGATGTGCAGGCCTAGCCGGACCCGCCCAGGAACGAAAGTTCGGGAACAGCCTCTGGCAATTCTGTGGCTCCTCCTGCGTCCTGACTCCTTCTTTGATGTCGATCTTGACGCTGCGGCTGCTGGGCCTTTGTGTTTAGCTCTCTCCCAAGGAAATGCAGCCCCGAGAAGGATCAGCTCCCAGGGAGGCAGGAGCCCCCCCCCGGGGGGGCTGGACGCTGGAGGCTCTGTCCCGGGGCCAAGGGCACCACTGTCAGGGGAGGCGATGCAGAGCTGGACCACCGGATAGCACGAGGCTGTGCAGCCAGTGAGAACAGGGCCCGCAGGGAAGCATGATGGCGGGCCTTTGCTTACACAGTGGAGTCTGAAGTCTGCTGGTGGGACTGCCAGCTTTAGTGGAGAGGAGCTCAGGCTTGCTGACCGTGCCGTGGAAATCGCAGGTAAACCGGTTGCCTCCTCTGTGCTCCACTCTCTCACGTCCTGGCAGTGGGACATCCCCGACCGCTCTCCTCTCCCACACCGGTGCCGATGAAAGCCACCAGGGAGCACGTGCGAAGGCTCAGTGGGACATGTGCTGTGTGGTTTCTCCTTGAAGGCTCACCCACAGTCCTTATCCTATATGCTTGGTAGGCAAGGACACTCAGGCCTCCAGGGGCTAGCAGATTTGCGCAAGGGCGCATCACGCACACGGGGGTGTCGGAATTCAAACCCAGCCAGAGGCCAGACTCTGGAGCCCCTGTGTTTAACCACATCAGAGCATGGCCAGCTCTGCTGTTAAAATTACACCTGACTCCAAGGCCTCCTTCAAACGTCACCTCTACTCTGAGGCTTTCCTTGATTGGGTCGTCCATGTCTGCCTATGGTGTGCCTAGCTGCCCCGAGCAGTAGTTGTCGTTCATTCATTCCACAACGATTGTCCGTCCACTACCTCTTCTCTGGGGAAGCCCCATGTTCAGTTAGGATCAAGGCTAACTATGCCATCAGAGCTGGCGCCTCCCCAATTACGTCTGCTTGAAGCAGCCGCCATCCCTTCCAGGGCCCGAGAAAGTCCCGGGTCTTTTCCCTGGGTGTTACAACCAGAAACTGTCCGAGCCACTTAAGAATTCAGGTCAGACATATGGAAATTCAGCAAGCCGCAAAACAAGCAGGTGGAAAAATAGCAGGGAGTTTCGCCGGGCCAGGCAGCGCCGGAGCGGGGAGCATTCGTAATTCTTGCCCCTCTCCCCGCAACGATCCCGCAGAGCTGAATTTCCGAGTCCGCCCCAGAGAAGGTGATGATCCGTGTAAGCTGTGCTCCCTGGGATTCTGGGGTTGGGGGAGTTTGCCAAGGTTGTATGACATCGCTTTAAGCAAAGACCTTCTTTCCTCGGGGTGTTGTCTTTCCAGTGCCTCTGCGACCCCTCTGCCAGGATGTAGACGGAGCCTGCGACTCGGGCAGGTTCCCAGGCTCAGACAGGTCCCAGAGGAGTCCGTTCCACTCCCACCCCACCCAGTGACCTAAAGGTACTTCTTTAGTCAATCAGGAGACATTTAGAGAGGAGGATGGGAGGAAATTCGCTGAAAGGAATCCCAGGCAGCTATTATTTTTAGGTTTATTTATTTATTTTTGAGACGGGTCGGGGGCGGGGGGAGTGAGGGAGGGAGGATCAGAGAGAGGGGGGGAGAGAGAATCCCAAGTAGGCTCCACGCTCTTAGTGCAGAGCACGATTTGGGGCTCGAATTCACGAATGGTAAGATCATGACCTGAGCCGAAATCAAGAGTCAGACACTTAACCAGCTGAGCCACCCAGGTGCCCCCAGGCAGCTGTTTAGAAGGTGTAGTCTTTTGGCCCCCATCCCTCCTGAAGAAAGATCTGACAGGCTCTGGAGGCAGTGGTTGTCAGCATTTGTACAGAACAGATGGACCTTTGAGAATCATGGCAAGTTTATGAAATCTCCCCCCACAAAAACCCCGCCTCTCCCACACACAACTTAGTGTCCAATTTTAGGGTATTCAGGGGCTTCCTGAAATCCACCCATGAACCCAAGTTCGATGTCCTTACAGTGTTGTAAGCACACAGGATGATTTTAGGTGGTGTGTGGAGAAAGATCGTTTCAAATTTTAATCCCCGAGTGGTTATTTGAACTTGTACCAAAGTCATCATTAACACGTTAAATCTGTGACCTTGTAAATGTTCTGGGGATGGGGTTAAACTAAAAAAAAAAAATTATGACTAGAACTAAAGACGATTTTAGAGGGAGCGTTAAGTCAATGAGCAGTGGTTCTGGGCCAGGGTGGGAGGGGCCCTGAGCTGGAGAAAAGGCTGGAAAGTCCTGAACGCAGGTGGACGTTTTGGATGCACTGCTCTGGTTTCTGGAATCTTCCAACCAATTGATAGTCTCGTGGCAGATGAGGCAACTGAGGCCCAGAGGGTTAGGTGACTTACCTAAGTGCTCCCAGTAGTCGGAAGCACATGGGCAGAAAGTCCCCGGGGCGACAGGCTCCTAGGCCAATGTGTTTTCCATAGCCCCATTCATTTTCCTGTTTTCTACCTATGCAGTTACATGCTCAGAGGGCAAAAGGAGGAGTCTACCTGGGTTCATTCTGGGAACAGAGAGAACAAATAGTAACCTCAGATCGCCAGTTGGAGTGCTGTCACTTTCCAAGGGCTTTCACAAGTATTTTCCTTAGACTCTTCCCACTGTTGATACTTATAAATGAAAAAAGCATTTCAAGATGCTTGTCATTCCTCCCGCATTGTTCCAGGTTTGACTGTACAGACTCAGGAAATGGTCCGATGTCTTCCCCCAGGGCTTTCTCCTATTTAGCTAGACTCATAAGACAGAATCAGTTTTGCATGTTCCGAGGCCTCTTTCCATTGGGGTTGACATGGTGCTTGCTGGTCTGGTTGCTGGGTTGAAAACTAATGGTGTCCCATACAAAGAAGTTTCTTTAAATCCTCTGTCCAGGTCAGCCCCCACCAGCTCCTGCCGGGAACATTGTTGTGGCTTCTGAGTGCATCCCGTTAAGTAGGGGAGGGTGGCCAGAAAGAGGATGACAGGACAGGTAGGAGGCTGGAGGTTGAATCAGAGGAGTGGCAGCTGAAGGAACCGGTGTTGGCCGGATAGCAGACAAAAGACTCTAGGTGCCAATCCAAGGTCACCGCCCACAGGTCTTTAAAGGGTTGTGGTGGGGCGGGGCAGGGCAGGGCAGGCACCGTGCTGCAGGCGGCAGAGTGGGTGGGTGGGCACCTGGGGAAAGGAAGGAAGGACAGGCTCCTGGTGTCACTGTTCTCACGCAGGCATGCAGGCTAGAAACCTGCATTTTGACATGACATCTGATTTTCAAATGGTGGCCGCGCATTTCAAAACCATCTGAAAACATCGCGTGGCCAAGCAAAACACAGCTATGAGTCAGATCGGATCCATAGACTATGTTGTAACTTCTGCCTCTATGGTCATGAGGATATTTCGGGGTTCCTGGTTGCTGACCAGTCCTAAAGGCCAAGCCTGGGCTCCCCCTTTTTGAAAGTGCCACTGCCTAGGGTGTAGTCCCACGGGCAGTGTTCAGGGGACACATTGGATTGATGACAGACAGCATTTTTAACACTCTTTAGGACAAAGTGGTAGCTTTGGAAGAGGTGGAGAACTCTAAGAGGTGGAGAACTCCTTCTGGAGGGAAGGGGGGGGTCAGTCACTGGAGGAGGCGGCATGGTGGCAGGAAATATTGCTATAGAGGCAGGTGAGAGATGGGATCGGATGCTCTTCTGTGATTTTATGACAGTCACTCCTCCTGACCCTCAGCCCACCCCCGGAGGACTTCCAAGTCCCTACATCCTGTGTCCCCTTCTCGGTTTCCACCAACCCTGAGGAATCCCTCTGCAGAGCCAGCCTGGGTCAAGTTGCCTGCTTCCTGCCACCTCAGGGCTCCCTCTGCTCGTAACGTCTTCCTGCTTTCTCTACCCACCACCCTCTACTCAGCCACTCCCTGGGCCAGCGTCTCCGGAGCCCAGGCCAGGTCGGTTCCCCAGTCACGTGCTACATCAGCACACTCACTACGGTGACACCACACATTTCTTTGTGTGATGATCAGATTCTTGTCTCACTGGTTTAGATTACGCCGATGCTGTCTTTTAATGCTGATATTCGGTGATTTGGGGGCAATCAACCAGTGAAGGGCAGAGCCAGAACCATGGTTCTCAACCTCTATTTCTGCCCCGGGCACCCAGGAGATTACAGCACGCACCTGGTATGAACTGGACTCCTGGATTCAGAAACACTCACGTAAAGGTTAAGGGCACATTTTCTCTGCCGCTTGTTAGGTGGGTAACTTGAGACCAGCTGCAGCGAGCCTCAGTTTTCTCATCTGTAACATGGAAACAATCATGCTGTCCCACAGGGTTCTTGCGAATAAGACAAACCTGGGCTGGAAATCGTAGCTCCTTCTCACTTGTGTGTAACCCTTGGAAAGTGACTCAAGTGAGGATAGCTACTTATCTCGAAGTCTGACATGAGAATATTTTAAAATCTCAGGCCAGAACCTCCTGCTATGGGTCCCAGCTGGAGTGTTGGATATTTGCTCTCTCCACCAATTAGCAGATCCCCGAATACCGGAGCACTAAGGGAGAAATGAGGATAAATCATGGTTCTCAACTGGGGGGCATTTTTCCTGCAGGGGACATTTTGCAATGTCTGGAAACATTTCTGGTTGTCACAGTGGTGGGCAGGAAGGTGCTGCTGGCATCTAGTGGGTAGAGGCCAGAGAGGCTGCTGAATATTATACAATGCACAGGGAAGCCCCCATTGCAAAGAATGATCTGGAACTAAATGTCAACAGTGGACTAAACGGTAACCAAGGAAAACAGACTACAATGAAAGAAAAGAACTTCCTGCGGTTTTATGTATATGTACAATATACACACATATGCATACACATACACGTATGTGTATACATTTATGTGTATATGGGCTGTAAAATGTACTGTATGTGTATGTACATATCTTGTCATACGTCCTCAAGTCCATATGCCTATAGCACTGAGAGCCAGCACAAAGACAAAGCCATGGCACAGAACTCCCAGCCGTGAGCCAAACTGACTCACCCACCGGAGGCTGATTTACCGGAATGAGAAATTAAGCATTTGATCTACGCACAACTTTTTAGGAAAGCAAAGCTTCAGGGAAACTGGAGTGTCCCTGGTGTCCTATAGAGCGTGATCACGAAGCATGCCATACGTTTGTGCCCACATCCTCTTCCTGCCTAACCTTTCCAGGACTGAGTAACTCCTGCCTTTCGGAAACCCTTTAGGAAAGTGAGGGGCTGAGAAGTTGCGGGCAGTCGGAAAGTGGCGAGGGGCAGGCCTTCGTGCTGTGCCACCAACTGGCCACCTACGCTGCCTCACTTTCCCCTCTTGGGCTTTCGTTCTCTCATTGCAGAAATGGGAGTGTGGATGAAGTGACCCTGTAAGTGTTCTTTCTGTTTGGACATCACGGACTCTTCGCTAGGAAGGGAAGAGGGGAACTCCCTCGTGGAGGGTCTATTGTCCCCACCTCTGTGCTAGGAAGGACATATAAGAAAACCCGGGAACAGCAGCTTGGGAAGTAGAGAATAAGACAAACCTGGGCTGGAAATCATAGCTCCTTCTCACTTGTATGTAACCCTTGGAAAGTTACTCAGAATGAGAATAGCTGCTTATCTCAAAGTCTGACACAACATTAAGAAGATACTGTTTGAACAGTCTCTGACACAGAGTAAGCACTTAATAAATAGAAGCTGCTATTATTATTATTATTATTATTTTTATTATTAGGTATTAGGTGATGGCAGTAGTGTGATTAAGAGATGGGTTTTTTGTGTGTGTATGTGTTTTTTTTTTGTTTTTTTTTTTTT